GGGGGGGGGGGGGGTGCCGCCGGCCCGAGACCTGCGCCGTTGGCCGCGGTCTTTGCTGGGCTCTTGGAAGCGCTCGGCGGGAGCTCGAGGCGTTCGCCGTGGCCAAGGCCTTCGCCAAGGGGTTGCCGTGAAGCGCTCGCCACGGCCTCGGTCTTTGCGGTGGCCCCACGGCCCTCGTGAGAGCTTGAGTTGTTTGCCGTGGCCTCGAAGCGCTCGCCGTGGCCGTGGTCTTCGCCACGGCGCCAAGAGCCTCGGTGGGAACTTGAGGTGTTCGCTGTGGCCAAGGCCTTCGCTAAGGTCTTCGCCATGGTCCTGAAGCACTTGCTGTGGCCATGGGCTTTGCCATGGCCCCGAGGCTCTCAATGGGAGCTCGAGGTGTTCACCATGGCCAAGGCCTTCCGTAATGTCTTTGCCACAGCCTTGAGCCGCTCGCCACGGGCAAGGTCTTCACCATGACCCCAAGGTCCTCACCAGGAACCTGAGTTACTCACCAGGGTCTTGAGGTTCTCACCATGGCCAAGACTATTGCCAAGACCTGCATCTTGGCCAAGGTCTTCACCACGGCCTTGAGATGCTCACCATGGCCAAGGCCTTTGGCACGGCCCCTAGACCTGTCCTATGGCCAAGGTCTGTGCCATGGCCCTGAAGCCCTTGCTGGGAACCTGAAGTGCTCAGCATGGCCGAGGCCTTCACCATGGACCTGAGGCCTTGTGCTGCGGCCATGGTGCTTTCACCATGGCTGTAGACCTTGCCATGGTGCCGAGCTGCTTGCCATCACCGAGGTCCTTGCTGTGGACCTGAGGTGCTGACCGTGGCAAGATCCTTGCTGTGGTGCTCACTGTAGCCCAGAGGCGATGGCCGTGGCCCTGAAGTTGCTGGGGCTCCTGCCGTGGCCCTGGGGTGCTTGCCGAGGCCACATCCTGGAGGCACTCACCGTGCAACCAGAGGCGCTCCCCATCGCTGCCCGAGGTGGTCCTCGGCACCCTCTGTGTGGCCCTGAGGCACCCGCCACGGCCCCGAAGCGCGTGCCGTGGCTGAGGCGCGTGCTGTGGCCCTCACCACGGCCTCTGTCACGGTCCCAATGCGTGCACCATGACCACGACCCTCTCCGCGGCCCCCGTGGTAGCTGGCTGGGGGCCCCCGGGTGCCTCTGGTTGGAGAAGGCCGGGGGCCCTCGCCGTCACCCCGCACTGCCGCGACCCACCGCTGCCCTTTCCTTTTCTCCCCTCCCAGGTGCTCTCGAGCCGGGGCGAGGGGATGAGGTGCCCCCCTGCCGCGTGGTGTGCCGAAGCGGCTCTTTAGATCCTCCCCGGCCCAAGCCTCCCCTGCCATGGATGCCTCGGGGGCTCTTGCTTCGGCTCCCTCCTCCGCGGCTCCCTCGGGCTCCCGCAGCCCCATGTTCCCCCCAGGAGCTGACAGAGAGGAGTGGGGACCGAGGTTCAATTGTGCCCCTTCCACCTCTGCCGCAGCCTCGCAGGCGATGCCAGCGTCTGGCCGGAAGAGGAAGGCCAACTTCTCCAATGACGAGACTGAGACGCTGGTCTGGAATGTGGTCCGGCATTTCAGCGCCCTGTATGGGTCTGAAGCCCTGCGGGCTCACCCCGTGCGGCGGAAGCAGCTCTGGACCCAAATCCAAAGCCGCGTCAACTTCCTGGGCTACACCGAACGCTCCATCGACGACCTCAAGCACAAGTGGCGCGACCTGCGGCTGGACGTCAAGAAAAAGATCACCTCCAAGAAGCACCTGCCCATGAACCGCGCCGGCGGGCCACTCCACAAGCCGCGCCTCACGCCCCTGGAGAAGATGGTGGCTTCCACCTTCTTGCAGGCCAGCCACGACTCGGAGCCCGAAATCATCTTGGACCCAGGTCAGTCGTGGCGGTTCTCTGGGGAGAGGAGAGTTGGAGTAGCAGAGTCCCGCGCTGCGTCCCCACCTGCACTCTCCGACTGACGTCCGGCCTGGTAACGTCACCAGGCACGGTCCCCCTGAGCTCTGGGGTCTGCCGAGCGTTTGTGTTCTGTGCTAGCCGGCACGGCGTCAATTGTGGAAGGACACTTTTGGGTTTTCCTCTCGTACATGGTTTGTGTTGGGATTACAGCATCTGGCAGGGCCGCGGTCCTGTTGTATCTGAGTAGCAAACCAGCAGGCTTGGAAACCGTGTGCGCTGGAATTAAAAATCCACTGTGGAAATAACCTGGGATCAACAAGAACACCTCAAACTTTGTGGGAGCAGGTCTTTTTTGTTTTGGTTTTTTTTTTCCTTCCTTTAATGTGATACAGTGCCTGGCCATGCTGGATACTGTCTAAAGGCAGCTGGTGAAAGATGGGATGCGATTTTATTTCCTGGTTCTTTTCAGGGTCAGCATCCCCCATGGTTAGCTGAGGTCAGAGGGAGCGGGAGCAGCTGCTTCAGTGCAAAGCCACACCGTCGTCTCGCAGTGCCTCGCACCCGGGTGCCATGCGTGGCGGGGGGGAGCCGGTGGGGCCGTGAGTGGGCTGTGCCTTCTCGATGGGGCTGTGCCTTTGACCCCTCTGTCACCTGCACAGCAAACCTGTCTCTTGCGCTACCCCAGAGCGCAGTGCCCTCTTGCTGGTCCTGCTCTTGGGTAACGCCTGTTTAGCTCAAACGCCCGAGAGATGCTCGGGGGTCGGGGGCAAAATGTTGGTGAAAGACCCGACATCGGTCTTGCAGTAGTGCTGAGCTGGGCCCACGGGTACACCCCAGCTGGGCTTCGTTACTGTACAGGAGGCAAATACCCTCCTGCCCTTTCATTTCCCCAAAGGGGATGTGTCCAGCTTCTTTTTGTCCGCAGAGGGCACCAGGGTTAGTTCTTCCTGCTCCTTCCTCTGCTCTTTGATTTCAGTTTGGCCCACCAGGTTTCACTGGGGATGGGTGGGTGGCGTGGGTCTCGTTTTCACCCAGTTCAGGCTTGGGCTGTCTCTGAATCAGACGCCCGTCTCGCTGCAGAGCTGAAGAGCTCTAGGCTGAAGGAAGAAGTCCTGCGGGACATTTAGGGGATGCCAATCCCCTTGGGGTTGGGTGAGTTCAGGATGGTCCTGGACGAGGTGAGGGTGAGCGATCGGGCAGGCTGGCCTTGCAGGAGGAGCGTCTGTACCCCGGTGCGACCATGTCCCCCACGCAGCATTGCTCCCCTGCAGATTCCCGTGGGACCCTTCTCCTGGGGAGCCCCATCCGCCCTTCTGCGGGGGCACGTGAACTGCTGGTGCCGTCATCGCAGCGGCTGAGGCTGGATTCTCTCTGTCCCACAGATCTGTTCTTCCCCGGAGCGACCAAGCAGTCCTTCATGCACCTGCAGCCCGGTGTCAGCCACCCCAGCATCTACATCGACACCAACGGGCAGCCCTCATCCCTGCCAGACGTGGAGGGCTCCGCTGTGCCCCGGCTGGCGGTGCAGAGCCCCGACCCCTCCGTCATCTGCGAGTACAGCCGAGGGGAAGGACAGAGCAGTTCAGGTAAGGCTGCGGGACAGGCTGCTGCAGGGCTTTAGGCCGTGGAGAGAGGACGCGGGGTCTGGATAGAGATCCGCTGGGAGCGTGGCAGCTGGTAAAAGGTTGCGGTGGTGGTTTGCACCGAGAGCCTGGTCCTGGCCTGGTGTCGCGCTGTCGGTGGGGCTGGATGCAGCCTTCGGCATGGCGCTGGGGGTGGCACTGCTAGGGACATCCCGACTGGAGACACTTCCCTCTGCCTGCCCAGCCTGTGCGATTGTGTCCGGTCTGCGAGTCCCGAAGGGCTGCGGATACGTAACGGGGAACCCGGGGCACAGTTTCGTAACCACCGAGGGTTGGTCGGTGGCAGGAGAAGGCAGCAAATCCAAGGGAAGGCAAAGGCCGTGGCTGTCCCTGCATCACACGGGGACCTGGGGAGCTCACTGCAGGGGGATGGGGACTGTGTGAGGCAGGCAGGGGCAAGAGCTGCACAGACGGGGCACGTTGGCCTGCTGTGTCCCTCGGGGATGTCTGTGAAGGGGATATCGGTGTGTCAGGAAAGGGCAGGGGGCCGGGGCAGCGGCTGGGGCTCACTGGAGGGCTTCTCTTCTCTTCCAGCCGAGTCGGGACCGGAGCTGCGGACTCCAGACGTGTCAGCCATTTCCCCGTCCCTGCGAAACGAGTCCCTCGTCTCCTACGCCTCCATGTCGGAGGAGGAGGAACGGGAAGGCCGGGAGGTGGAGAGGGGCCACGGCGGGGCTGTGGGGATGCAGTCCGGGCCCGAGGCCCCCATGTCTGCGGAGGAAGACATGAAACTGTCCCGCCAGGCCATGCTGATCCGCAGGTGCAGCTCCCAGGGCTCCGTCACCTCTCTGCCCGAGGACCCTCTCAACCCCGTGGACGCTCACTCGGACTGGGGCCACGAGGGGGTGTCTGACCTGCCCCCCCTGGGCCGTGGGCTCGACTCCTCACACCCCGAGGAGCACGCGGGGGGCCCAGGCCCGGAGATGGGCGCTTTGCCCAGGGTACTGATGGGGCCCACCTGGGAGAAGCCGACAGTGGAGGAAGAACCCCCGGCCCGCTCCCCGCTGCATGGTGCCCTGACCGAGGAGTCGCTGCCCTCCTCTGCCTCCCCCCCGGGGGACGCCCCCGCCGCCCCCGGCCCACCCCGTGGCCTGGGCTGCTCCCGCCTGCGGGAAGACCGCCGGGAGAGCTGGAGGACTAACATCCATCACCTGCTGGACCTGGAGGAGCAGTGGGACCAGCTGTACCACCAGGAGCTGGCCATGTGGCAGGAGGAGCGGGCCACCCAGCGCGAGGAGAGGGCCCGCGACCGCGAGCTCCAGTTTCGCTTGCTGGGCGTCCTGACGGACATCCGCGACGAGCTGCGCTACCTGCGTCAGGAGAGGGCCAGTGCCCGGCAGAGCCAGGCGCCGCCGGCCGAGCCCCGGCCGGACCCCAGCCCGCTCCTCGAGCAGCCCAAAGCCGAGCCCAGCTTCCCCGAGCCGCAGGCCGGGAGTGCCAGCTGGGGAGAGACCGCCGTGCCCAGCCGAAGCCCCTTCGGGAACCGGGGCCGGGGCCGGCGTCGGGGCCGGCCGCGCGGCTCTGCCTCCAGACACAGACGGCTCTTCCTCACCAACAGCTAGGGACAGGCGGGGACGCTGTCCCGCGAAGGACATGGTGTGTGCCTGCGGCCCTCCTGGTGCCTGCACGCGTGGGGCTCCGGCCACGCCGTGGGCGCCCGGCCACGGACAGAGGGGTGTGCGCGTGGGGGAACGGTGTGTGTGGGTGTGCGTGGGAGCTGCCTGGGTCACAGGAGGCGCGTGCCAGCGCGGTCGGCGCCTGCCCTGCCGGCACGCCCGGGCCCCCGCAAGCACGGGGAAGGCTACGAGGGTATGCGGTGGCCGGCGCCGCGCACACCTGCCGCGCTCTGGGCATGCGCACCTGCCCGGGAAGGGAGACGGTGATAACACGCGCGTGTGTAAGGGTGTGCGAGCGCCCGGGAGGCCTGCCTGCGCCTGTCGGCCATGCCTCTGCCTGCACAGGCAGCCCGGGGCAGGGCCCGCGAGCGTGGCCAGCTGGGCGCGTGTGAGCGAGCGGGACACGCGGCGGGGAAGCGTGTGCGTGCGTCAGCGGGGCCGTGTGACAGCGCTAGTCGAGTAGGATTACTACCTTTGGGGTGGGGGCGGGTGGGAAGTTAGGAACACTTAGTCGCTGATGTGCGAACATTTTATGCAAATCATTTAATGACCTAATTTGCATATAACCATAAACTTCTGTTAAAAAAAAAAATCCCCAAAAAACAGAAAGGCCGCCTCTGTGTGTGAACTCAGTGCTGGAGCGGCGTGGTGAGGAGGGTCGTGGGCGAGTGGGACCTGCTGCCCCCCACGAGCCTTCCCGCGCCGCCTGCTGAAGTCGTGGTCCCTTCTCGGCCAGGAGCTGTGCCGGGTGCCGGCGGTGCTGTGCCAGGCCAGCAGTGACGCCCACTGTGGCACTTGGCAGGGGTGGCGAGCTGCCCACGTTGGATACCTGAGGATTAATCCTGCCCTTGCGAAGGCAGCCGCTTGCAGGGCCGGGGAGGGGAGGCCATGTGCTTCCCTCCATCCTCCTCCTTCCCGGTCAACCCCGCAGGCAGGCGTCTGCCTGATCCCCCGGCAATGGGGCCGTGTGAGCCGCCGCTGCCCGTGGGGAGACCCAGCTCCTCTACCCTGCCTCCCCACAGCACCGGTCATGGGTCCTTTCCCCTCCTGGCTGCCCGTGTAGCCTCAGGGAAGTCCCCAACCTTCCTCCCCCTCCTCGCTTGTGCCAATGCTGCTCGACTGCTGTGTCATGCTGCTAATTCGCCGCCTTCCCGTAGTTCCTCCCTGCTCAAATCCCCGGTGCTGCCGGCACGCTGCCGCCACGCTGGCCTGCTCTGCTCCTGGGCTGCCCTGAGCCAGTCAGGGGGAGCATGCAGGCAGCCCCCCCCTCCATGATGCAGCCTGCTGTGCTGTGATATGGGGGCGTTTGCCCCACGGCCCTGCCCCGCGCAGCCCATATGGGCTGCGTGGGGCAGGGCCGTGGGGCAAACGACCCCGGGGTTGGTGGCAACGGAGCTTCACCCCGCTCCTTCGGGGGACCCCAGCACCCCGGCATCAAGGCTAGAGGTGGAACAGGACTTGCAGCCTTCGGCTGTACTGTCCCCAGGGAGCTCCAGCCCCGTACACGCTGCCTCCTCCTCATCAGGGCTACAGCACAGGTAAAAAGCCCACCCTGGGCTGATTGCCCCCCGCCTCGCAACCACAGCATGCAGGGGACCCACAGCCATGTCCCTGCTCGGTGGCAGCTCCTTTGCCACCCAGGCAGGACGGTGCAGCCACCCGGGAAGGGGGGCAGTGGGGCAGCACCGCCGGTGCCAGCCGTGGGAGCAGCAGCCACGGGGCAAAGCGTCACGAGCTGTGGCACTTGGTGGGTCACCGGCTCCGGTCAGGGCCTCCCCCCCCACCAGCTTGGCTGCCTGGGGAAGAGGGATGGGTGTCCACGGCTGTGGTTAAAAACTCCGTGTAAATAATTTATAGACTCAAATCAAGAGTAGGAGGGGCCAGGGATGAGTTTGGTGACGGTGGGCAGAAGCCGGAGGGGTTCAGCTGGTTAAAATGAAGGTGGGATACGCAGGACCACTGCCTGCTGCTGCGGCTGATGCAAGCAGGGCATTGCTGTCCGGTTATCTTTTACGAGATAGATATAGTAAAATGATTTGCAGAGGGGTGTGCAGGTGCAGGGAAGTGGGCGCTGGGTCCATGCTCCAGGGAGGGCTTGGCCACAGCCTGCAGCCCACGCATGTCAGGGAAAGCCAGGAAAAAAAATGCAAAAAGTTGGGAATCAGAGATGCTAGAAAGGATTTGACACGGAGGGGGGTCCCTGCGGGTCAGGGGACAACCAGGACCCACAGTGCCCCAGGGAGCACGGCTGCCTCCTGGCAGCCCTTGCACACCCACGGCTGGTGTGCATGCACACACACATGCGCTGGAGCATCATTGCCCATCCTTCCCTCTCCGTGCAAGGTTTCACCCGTGGGTTCAGCCGCTCCACGCTCTGGGGGTCTCTGCACAGCCCTGCCAGCACAAGACCACCACAGCCAGTGACACCGGGAACACTGACAGCCCCCGCACCCGTTTCTGCTGCCCCATGCTCTGCCATGATTTCCCCCCCCCCTTGCCCATCTCTGACCTTGCAGGCACTGCCGGTGCCTTCCCGGGGTGCGGGACCACAGGGATGGGGCAGGAGTGTGGCTGCAGGACCGCGGGGGACACGGGGGACCCCACAGGGCCGGGGGCGAAGGC